TTGTTTGGGATTAGGATGGGGGATGTGAGTCTTCAGAGGATATCCGGATGAGCAGGAAGGGAGTCGAAGTGTCCTGATTGTGGCTGCTGTTCCAGGCAGCTGGTGGCCAGGAAGGCAGAGGGGTGCACCAGCAAGCCGCCAGTGCTGCCGAAGTGTCCTGGCACCCCTGGTCTGGCTCCGGTGCCTGCTTAGGCAGAGGCACTGCTGCCTGAGCCATTCTCACTCTGTTCACGGCACCTTTAAGATACTTCAGTAACATAAAAAGTTTGGGATTAGCCCAGCACTTGTAACATTTTTCTTCCTTCTTCTCTTTAGGCTTATTACGCCCGTGATGCTCTGGCTAAGAATTTATATAGTCGACTGTTCTCTTGGCTTGTTACCAGAATCAATGAGAGCATTAAGGTATTGTTGGTTTGTGCCTGTAAAAAAATCAATAGAAATCCTTTAAATTAAAGTGGACAGTAGAACTGTATTTGCCAATTTCATTTTTCCTGGTTGCACGCTGTTACACATGGTACAGGTGTATGACTGTATTGCAGCTCAACAAATTGCTGTCTGCTCTGTTTTTAAGCTTTTGAAAATATTCACGTTAAGTGTATTTTGGGAAACCATACTTGACATTTTAGTTTACAGAATTTGACAGCCTACTTTGAGATACATTAGTTTTCTTGATTCCCAAGTATGAAATGTTCAGATGACTGACTCAATGTTTAATTTTTTTTTAAGGCACAAACAAAAGTGAGAAAGAAGGTAATGGGAGTGCTGGACATCTATGGCTTTGAAATTTTTGAGGTAAGACCTTTATAATGGTAAACACTTAATGTGAGAGCTATTATTAAAGCTTAATAGAGTAGTTCATTAATTTGTAATCAGAATACATGTAATTTGAATCGTGTGTCATTCCTGACAAAAAAACACTAGAAAAGTAAGCCAAAGAGAGATGTCTTAGCATGTCTGGCAATTGAAACAAAAATTTATGAAAGCCAAACTGGTGTTTTTACACCATAGGTAAATAAATATTTATGATGGGTAAACTAAATATATTTTGTTGTGACATACATTCTGAGCATAAGAGGAACTCTGGCAGTGTCATTTCTGCCCTGAGGCATTTTGTGGATGTCTTTGAACAAGCTTTGTATCCTTTAAAAAACACAACAAAAACTATACTTTTTTTTCCTGTCACAATTAAACAAGGAATTATATTCCATTTCATCTCAGTTCACTTAGATAAATATTCTGTACCGATTCCTAGCTAACAATCTGTGGCTCACTGCTGTTTGTTTATGATAGTATTTTTAGACTGGTGGTATTTTGAAACAAAAACTATCAACAAGGATTTTTTAATTGGGTTAGAGAACACCAAGGAGAGGGAGTTTTCATAAATCTTATTCTGACAGTTTATTTTAAGAGATTTATAGAACTTGGTTGGAATCTGTATAGTGTTTAAACTAGAAACTCAACTGGGGAGAAAAATCAGTAGAAAACATGCAATCCTTACCCACTTCCCTACATACCTCTTGAAAATCCAGGGAGTGTGTTTAAACTGTGTAGAAGATGGGAACAATCCAGGAAAGAGTAATTATACATGGGACGGTGGTGTAAGTTTTATTTCAGAAGCATAACATCAAAGTATTTGCAAATCCAAATACCTCTATGAAGGGGAAAAACAAAGCTCATACTTGCTTCAAGTGTTTACTAAGCTAGGTTGTATTGTTTGCATTAAACATAAGAGCATATTTATGAAAATATATTGCAAGCAGTCAGGTGGCTGAATGGAGATCTCGGTGCCAGATCTCTTTGGAGCTGGTCCTTGACGTACCTTTAGAAAGCTGGACACTGGAATGGTACTGCTGGCAGGGCTCTTGTTTTCACTAGCTCTTTCTTTTATGTTTGATTAGGGATAAATATGTAGGGTGAGGTGGGAGACAGAAGCTTGCTCTAGTACACAAGCCAACTGAGTAATTGTGTTTGTGGGATGATGTTCCAGAGACAAGGTTGTTTCTCGCATGTAATTTTCTTTTTTTGTAGGAGTTCAACATCTTAGAAGGTCATAAGTAAGTAGTTGAGTACAGCAGATGTAGTTTTGCAGACAAAAAATGAAAAAACAAGGCTCTTTTCACTTTCCTATCATACTGAATTACAATGTAGCTTTCCCAATTCATACAAACTCAAAAGCTTTAAAATAATATGGGTAGTTATTGTTGACTCCTTTAAATGCTGAGTATTGTTTCTACTGGAAAAGGTGGGAAAGGTTTGCCTTGTAACTTGAGGATCAAATTCGTCAGTACATTCATACAAGACGGGACTCTTCCTCTTATGAGTTAAGACCTGTGGTGAGAGCACTAGCCAGGCAGCTTGGTACAGTGTCACAGAAATAATGGAATTATTTCTGAACATTCAAAACGGGAGTCAGGTAGTATGCCAGAAACATACATGGCTTGTACTATGCCATATTTTAATTTAAAGATATTTGAAAAAGGAACTTGATTGGTTTAGGTATCTAGAGGTAACGAGTACAGTTACTGGTATTGGGACAGCGTGGCAGTACTGTAGTTCAAAGGGTCAATCATAGAAAAACAATCCATTAGAAAATCCTGAATCAGCTGTATGTCCAGTACCACCCACTTAGCCATCCCTGTGTTTCCAGACAGGTTAATTTTATAATCAGAAACTGCTGACTTATTCTCAATTGAATCAAAAGCAAAGATATTCTTTCAAGGCAAAACAAAATTAATTTTCTATGCAGCTCTAGTTGGAACAAAAGACGATGTTATGTCATAATCCGTAAATTGAGTAAAATAATTCTGTAATGAACACTGTATAGGCAAAGTGTAACCGGTCTTGTGGTTGCTTGAATGAATGTAAATGTAGTAAGGTCAATTAAGAGGATGCCTGCCAAATATTTTTATGTTGAGTTTTGTAACAAATGATCGAATCTCACAAAAATTATTAAAGATCTTGAGAAAATGCTTACAAAAAAACAGTTATTGCTGAGAATTTAAGTAACCACTTCACAGAAAACACAGTTTAAAGTTATTTGTATTAAAACAAACAATAAATGAATGAAATTTTAACACTGTACAATACCATAACTCAAGAAAAATTCAATAATGTCTTAAGATTTATAGTGTAAAAAGTATAGTGGAATTTGGAGTGTTTTGCAGTGTGGTACATTTGTAAACATGATGGCTAAACATTCAAAATATTGGGTGAGGTGTAGCTAATGGCAGTAACTATATCCATCTAATTATAAATTACGTAAAACCTCTGACTGAAAATGTGCAGTTCCCTTTTGAATCTAATTCTTAAGTCAGATTTTGATTTTCATGTTTGTTCTTGAAGGTTAAAACTAACATCATCTCTACAAAGAATGTTTTTTGGCAAAACTGTATTTGAAAGACTTCTTCATCTGTAAACTTGTGCATTTTAAACTTGTAAGCTATTTGATATGCGGAAGGTAAAAAGGCCTACTTTAATCATGTTTCTACTCAGGAAGCAGAGAGGTTTATCATTAGTGCATGTTCTTTGACCTAAAATGTCCTTGTACCCTGGAGACAGAACATATCAAAAATCATAGAAGGTGTAGTAGGAGTTTTTATATACATGCTAAATACTTACACATGAAGCTTAATACCATTGAAATAAGTAGCAAGCTACATGTTTCCTGAAGGGTGATTTTTATTTATTTTTTATTTATTTATTTTCTTCAGTATTACACTTACCTATCAGGATCGCTGAAAGAATAAACTAATGATACTTTAGTTTACCTGTTTTGTTCTGAGATTCTCACTTAAAAGTTATTGGAATACATTATAGAATAGTCTGCTTCCACTGCAAAAACATTAGTTTGCTACAGAATTTTGAGGTTTTTGTTTTGTTTCATAATGGGCAGGGCAGACAATATTTCTTGGGCCTTATTCCTGTTTAGGACGATTCCTTAGATCATCCTACAATTCCTCCTGTAAAAAGAGTAAAGAAATCCAGATTTACCATTCTGAAAGATGCTACACTTCACCTTCTAATGACAATAGCAGTCTTGTTCTATTATATGCAAATTGAAGCTTATATAAATGAGTTATGTTTTCATCTAGTTTTGAAAGATTACTTTATTTACTGTCCACTGTATTTTCTACCATTTTCTGTAATTTAAGATGAAGTTAACTTGCAAAGTAACTGGAGGTTTCTTGAAACTTAATAATGCTGGTATATACTTTTTGGGATTTGGTTTCCGCTAGTATTTTTATCAAGCACAAAACCCATTTTTCAGACAAACCCAAAAGCTATCCAAGAAAGCAGATTTAAGGACTTGGCTGTCCAAAAACTCAGATTAGGGAATTTAAATCTGTCGATAATCTCAGCCTCTGTGGGTTTGGCAGATGTCAACAGCAAGCTTGGCTAAACAATCCACAAAATAAGTGCTGTAAAGATGTGTTTATTTTTGAATCCTGCAATGCCCTTTGCGGTAAGCTCTATGCTGGGACTGAATGTTTTGAAAGCGAAATGCTGAAATTTTGGGTGTCCCTGTGTGAATTGTCTATGGGCAAGGATTTAGGGACCAGGATTAGTGTGAAAATGCAGGCTACAGGAGCAGGTTGGTTCTGTAATGCCGCTGAAGCTCGAGCAATGGATTGAAGCCTGACACTAATTGCTCCAAGTATGTTTATCCACTTTTTTGAGCAGCTGAATGCGTAATCAATCTGCAGTCTAGACTGCGATTTGAGATGGGGTAGGGATGATGGTTGGTGGCACTGGGAATTTCAGAACCAGCTCGATTGCAGGCTTCCTGGGGTAGGTTTATGGCTGGTCCCGCTTTATTCCATGTTCGATTCTGTATTTTGGGGCAGAAGCGGTTTCCGCATCTCTGCAAAATGTCGGGGTAGGGCTGTGGAAGGGCTGGGGTTTATGAAAAAGAAATGAAGGCAGATGACTGAGGGCCTGGCAGGTTTCAACAGAGATGAACAGAAGACTCATTCTGTTTGGTTTGGACATTTAATTTTCTGTCGTGTGCGTCTCCTGTGTAGACAAGGGCTAGGGTATGTAAAAATGAATGTCATGGAGCAAGTGTGAATATTTCATCCTGCCTAGCCTTCAGAGATAAAAATGTCTGTCTGTGCTAGTTGGCTTAAGGGCTTTATTCTGAATTTTCAGGCGCCACTATGTAGCTGGTCCACATGACAAAGCTAATAATTTGGAGTGCAGTTTTATGAAAGTTAAGGCTGCCAAACAAGGCTTATTCTTGAAATTTGCCAGGTCCTGAGAAGACAGTTTGAGAGTGTGAATGCTTTCTGCTCAATCCCTTGGTGGAGCAGGTTGTTCCACGTATTTTAGCCTGACAAGAAGCACGGATGCACCGGGGATAGAGCTGCAAAAGTAAGGGCTGCAGAAAGAGAGGGACTGTTTCCATTTGGTCCTCAGACATCTGCTGAGGGTTGACCTGAGGTAATGTGAATGCCTTGTCTTTGGGGACAGCATCTGACCAACTCCTTTTACTCCAGGTACACAAGAACATGCAAAGACGTGGCAGCATCCATCACATTCTGCATAAAACCCATCAGTAAATAAAAATACCACCACCAAAAGAGCCAAACAAGCCACCCAGCAGTAAAACCACATCCATTTCACATAGTCTGTGATGCACTTTGATAGTGCTTCTATTTATTTACGGCAATTAGCTTGTTTCTTGCGTGTAGAAGTCCCTTGTGGTGATGGAAAACAGCTTGGTCATATTGCATGTACTATGTAAACTGTCATCTGGACATTGATAAAATGCCAATATCTTTATTGAGGGAATC